TCCAGAATGTGTATAAGAAGTACATTTTTACCGAGGACGGCAAGTACTTGCTGGGTGGCATGATGATCGGTGATACAAAAGACTACATCAAGCTAGTACCCATGGTCAAGAACATGAAGGAGCTGGATATGCCACCTAGTCAGCTCATTCTCGGGGCCAAAAAGGAGGGCGAAGACGACGGCGACGACTTGACGGACGACACCCAGATCTGCTCATGTCACAACGTGACCAAAGGCGACGTGGTCAACAACGTCAAGGACGGGACCTGCAAGACGCTCGGCGAGGTCAAAGCGTGCACCAAGGCCGGAACCGGCTGCGGCGGCTGCATGCCCCTCGTGACGACAATATTCAACAAGACCATGCTGTCCATGGGCAACGAGGTCAAGAACTATCTGTGCGCCCACTTCAATTACTCCCGCGCCGACCTGTACAACATCATCCTCGTTAAGAAGCTGCAGACCTTTGAGGACGTCATGCGCGAGGCGGGCAACGACCGGAACTCGCTCGGCTGCGAAGCCTGCAAGCCTACCATGGGCAGCATCTTTGCTTCGTTATGGAACCGTCACGTCATGGACAAGCCCATGCACGGCCTCCAGGAGACCAACGACCGCTTCCTCGGTAACATCCAGCGCAACGGCACGTACAGCGTCGTCCCGCGGGTGTCTGCGGGCGAGATCACGCCCGACAAGCTCATCGCCATTGGCAACGTGGCGTCCAAGTACAAGCTGTACACGAAAATCACTGGCGGACAGCGCATCGATATGTTTGGGGCCAAGAAGCAGGACCTCTTGGATATCTGGCGGATGCTGGTCGAGGCCGGTATGGAGTCCGGGCATGCGTACGCAAAGTCGCTGCGGACGGTCAAGAGTTGTGTGGGCACGACGTGGTGCCGATACGGCGTCGGCGACAGTGTGGGCATGGCGGTGCGGTTGGAGGAGAGGTACAAGAGCATTCGCGCGCCGCACAAGATCAAGGGCGGCGTCAGCGGGTGCGTCCGCGAGTGCGCCGAAGCGCAAAACAAAGAGTATGTTGCCAGATAAATCCTACTCCTGAAGTGAACGAAATCGCTAACTTGTCTCCCAGCTTCGGCCTCATCGCTACAGACAAGGGCTTCAACATCTTTGTGGCCGGCAACGGCGGCGCCAAGCCCAAGCACTCTGAGCTGCTGGCCAAGGACGTCCCGCCCACCGAGGTTATCCCCATCATCGACCGCTACCTCATGTTCTACATCCGCACCGCCGACAGGCTTCAGCGCACGGCGCGCTGGCTCGAGAATCTCCCCGGCGGCATCAAGTACCTCCAGCAAGTCGTCCTGGAGGACAAGCTCGGCATTTGCGCCTCGCTCGAGGCCCAGATGCAGGAGCTCGTCGACAGCTTCTTTGACGAGTGGGCCGAGGCCATCAAGAACCCGGCCATTGCGGCCAAGTTCAAGCAGTTTGACAACACGGAGGAGACGCTCGACAATATGGAGGTCGAGCTCGATCGTGATCAGCCAAGGCCGGTGTACTGGGCGCCCGAATCCGCAAAGGAGGACTTCAAGGGGTTGAAGGAGAGGTGGAGCAGTACAACTTGGCAGCCCATGTTGCCGGCGAGTCACTTTTTCGGCGCGGACGAGACGCCGAATGGCATCTCGGCGACGGTGAAGCGCGGGGATACGCAGCTTGCTGTGTGGCGGGTTCGGGGCCGGTATTATGCCACGCAGCAAATGTGTCCTCACAAGAGGCAATTTGTGCTTTCCGACGGGCTTATCGGCGAGGAGCCCGGTGCTGCGGAGACGTGCGATGATGCGAAGAAGCCTGATTCCGGATGCAACGGCGGTCCCGATACCAACGGCAGCGGTAACGGTAATAACGGGGCGAAACGGCCGGCACCGTGGGTCTCGTGCCCGTACCACAAGCGCAACTTTGACCTCGCGGACGGGAGCTGCAAGAACGACGACGAGGTGAGCATCGCGACGTTCGCGGTGGAGGAACGCGCGGGCGACGGGATGGTGTATGTGAAGCTGCCCCCCGTGGAGGAGCTCGACGCGGCGCTGGGGACGAAGAAGTGGATGGTCAAAAAGGGGGAGGCCGGGGCGGCGCCGTTTGAGGCGCTGGATAAGAAGATTCGGTTCAAGGGGCACCGGGCCAAGAGGCCTGGTGTCAAGCCGATGGGGGCTTTGGGGATGGAGAAGGCGAGGGCTATGGTTGTTGGTGGTGGTGGGGGGTGCGGGAGTGCGCCGGATTGGTGATGGAGTGTTTGGATAGATGGATGAGGAGTTAGTGGGGTTGGATATATCGGTTGACTAAGGTATACAGGTTAGCAAACATGAGCGATTCTGATTTTGAAGACAAATGGTGCCGTTGATCAAGAAGTTTGAGTGACTTCTTTACGAGTTCTATACTACTACGTTAGTCGTACTTTCACCAAGCAAAAGACATCAATTTCTATCTCTATCTTCGAAACTACACTGCTCCATATCAGCATGAAACACCACTACTAAAGTCACTGCATCTCATAGTCAAGACCGAGAGACCTAGCGATGGGGGCTATATAAAGAAGATTTCAGGGAGTGTCGAGTCTTTCGTTGCAGACTGCAGTTGAGGCAGCAGCGGTGCGGGGGTGGAAGTACATGAGAATCGCGCCGGTACGGGCTCGGTTGGCTGATAACGGTATATGAGTTTTTACTGAATACCATCCATCCATAAAAGTACAAGTCCTAAACGGTCGTCCAGTAGTTCTCAGCCTACCTAGGAATCAACGTATTCGCTCACGGATACGTTAATGCGAGTACGTGCTAGTACGTAGAGTCTGGAGTTAAGGGATTATAAGTGAAGGGGGAAGAAAGAGAAAGTTGCGGATTGCTCAGTGGTTAGAGAGAAGGTATAGGGATCACTCAGCGACCCCAACTCAACTGTCTCTTTGTACTTCAGGGCACAAAGATACCTCTCGTGAGTGACTGCCGCGGCGGAGATGACCGTCTTATAGGTAATCGCTATCACAAAGGCATCAGGATGAACACCAACGGCGTTACTTCACCTTAATTATGAGGCTTCAGCATAAAAGAAGAGAAAGCCGAGAGGAGAAACTAAAGGTCCCGCTATTGAGCGAGGTGTCGAAATTGTTCCGAAGTGCAGTGAGAAACAATCGGTGAATTGTCGGGAAGGGGCCATAGAGTCAACTGCCCCGTACAGTCACCAGCTGAATATGGTATATAGGGTGGCTAATTGCTTCATCTGTCACCATCGGATGAGGAGATGCCTTGGCACAATAGTTGGGACTGCCCACTCCCGACCTCAACGCTAGGTAATTGACCCCGATGCTTTTTGTTTTTGAAGGTCTCGAGTTCGAATCTCCCTTGCAGAAGGTTTTCGTCGGGCTTCATGCAGTGTGTGTTGTTGAGCGATGTTATCAGTCCTCCTAGCGACAAGGTCCGAGGGTTGAATCTAGGTAGGTGCAAAAGAGAGTTTTGGAATGATTCAGAACGAGTTACATTCAGGTTTTTGGAAGAGTCAGCAAGTGCCCGGGGTTCTCAGCCTTATAGCGAGATATTCAGATTGTGTTTGAGTCTTTGAGTGTATTAAACCTCCGCGGCAGTACGGCAGAGCGGCACTCGTCGAGGAAGCCTCGGATTCGCATTAGTGAGGCCGCATTCGTATCTCCCGCTGCTTCAGCGGTTCCACCCGCGGTTCCCCCACAGTCTTAGCGTGACGACTAGCGGTTTGATCTGCAAGAGATTCCCCGGTAGGTGTCTCTGTCACTCTAGTCTAGTGTAGAGCTTTGGTGCTTGGTCAGGTTCCTCGTTTACTTCAATGGGGACCTCGTAATTGACTTACGAAATCTCCCCGTATTCGGCTTGTACCGGCCCTTATTGGACAACAAACTTCGCAGCCAGTGCACTTTGATCGTTCGCATTCTCTTTTTCTTTTCATTGTTCTTCCTCATTTCTCTCCCGAGTCCTAACCCTTTCCCAATCTCTCAACCGCCCGCCTGCCCCCCTTACGAATCCGAACCCGCCTCAACACTGAACTTCCGCTCCCACGGAATCCACGGTGTCTCTCTCCACCACGAAAATCCAACCAACGGTGAACCTGAACACAACCCTTGTCCATCCTTGCTCCGTGCCGGCATATCGCGCGCCGCCGCCCATGGAGAAGCGTACAAGGCGCCTCGGTCACAAGAAATCGAGGAACGGATGCCAGCGCTGTAAAGCACGTCGTGTCAAGGTACGATAAGGTCCCCAGTGTGTGTTCGACACGACTCCGTTATCGTTCCTCCGTATTAGCCATGAACTCATGTTTTCTTTGTGTGTGTCTCGTGTAGTGTGACGAGGAACGGCCGTGTCAGAAGTGTGTTGCCCATGGGGCACACTGCAGTCTCCTCGATCGTCCTGCATCGGTAACGGCCCCTCTCACGCCACCCGCCGCAGCCAAGCTTGCCCAGCATGAGCAGCGATACGCGCCTATTCAGCAGGCCGCACCGGCGGTGACGACCTCATCAACATCGTCTTCAAAGCAGTCAAGTCATGGCATGCAAGAAGCGGCGAGTGAAGCAGGTCTCACACCCATCACTGCAGGTATGATATGATCAAATTACAACCTCACATCACAGATCCTTGGCATCTATCTCCTTAAACTAAGCAATTAACCTCATCTCCTCAGTGAGCAGCACTTCTCCCTATCCCGGGGGCGAAGCGGCGCCAGACCCTCGCAACCCCGCCACAGATCCCTGGGATCTCTCGGAGGATTGGCTACAGAGTTTACGCCTGATGCACCACTACAGCACCAGTACCCGGCACGTCCTGCCAAAGGATGCCTGTACCGAAGAGCTCTGGAAGACGGCTATACCCGAGATGGCTTGCTCTCACGTATGTCAGAACCTTACCCCCGACGGGCCAACTATGCTTCCATTCCACACACCCCTTCTACTATCATGGAGACGTAGTGGGGGGAATGGAACGAGAAGAGATTTATGAACCAGTTCGTCTTACTAACACCGCAACCCAACCACAGAAATTCCTAATGCACGGCCTATTGGCCTTATCCGCCCTCCATTACGCCCATGTCCACCCGCAGGAGCGGAAAAAGTACGACATCATCTCGGTGAACCACCAGAACGAGGCGCTGCGCTTCTTCGCCCTCCGCCTTAACGACATCAATAAGGACAACTGCGAGGCCTACTTCTTCCTGGCGACGCTCATCTTCATCGTTAGCATCTGCTCCGTCGCACATAGTGAGGGCGTCGGTAGGTCCATCGCCCTCAGCGACGTCTCGCAGTCCTTTTCGCTCCTCCACGGAGTCAAGGGCATCCTCGACTTCCAGCCCATCGAAGCCTGGAGGCAGCGCGGGGGTCCCCTCGACGGCTTGCTGCGCCCACCCGTGCTAACGCAGGGCGGCTGGGTGTCGACGTCGGCGTTCCAGAAGCGCCTCGACGCCATCACCTCGCTGGCGAGAGAGGTGCCCGCGTCCTTCACCGACGTCATCAACCCGCAGTCCGTCTGCGTGCTGGCGCTGGAGGGCCTGCGGAGGGCGCACCAGATGAGCAGGGGCGAGGGGGAGAAGCCCGGCGGGGTGTGGGGGTGGTCGGCTACCCTGCCCGCCATGTTTATCGACATGGTTGCTAGCGGGCACCCTACGGCGCTCGTCATCCTGGCGCACTATGCAGCGCTGGCGAAGCCGTGTGAGAAGGCCGACTGGCTTTGCGACGGGTGGAGCGGCGCGGTGATGCGCTTGATTGAGAGGACGTTGGAGGATGAGTGGAAACCGTGGATCGAGTGGCCGAAGCGCAGCGTCTTTGAGAGGATTGACGTCGATGATATGGAAGTTTGAATTGATACCCCCATCACTAGTATCTCGTCTATAATAAATCCCTGAAATCAAGATCAAAAAGTGGCCAATTCCAGAAGCATCATAAAGATCATCGGCGCTATGTACATTCGATGCGGCCAATTTCAAGATGCCTTTTTTTGTCAAGGAGTCCCGAGGAAGCGGGCAGGGCGGTCCATAACCTCAAAACATATCGCTCGTTACTCGGCACTCTTCTCGGGTGAAAGCAACGCATTGTTGTAAAAAAAAGTCCATTCCCCTCAAATCTCGTATCCGTATCCGCATCTCAACTTTCGCTTCCATAATGCCCCTTACAGCTTTCTGATCATGATTGTTTTCTTGGGATCCGGAACAGTCTAGCAGTCCACGTCAGCGTCACTCATTCCATTTGACAGGATAATCATATCCCCTAGATCGAAGTTTGAAAAAAAAAGGGGGGGGGGGGGGAAGGAGCAAAAAAAAAAAAAAAAAACCACTCACAGAAGCGCCAAAAGCCAAATTCTCATATCTCTCCGTCACCCCCTCGGGCAACTTGATCTCGTAATTGCAAATGATATTCGCCATAATCATCTTGATCTCATTCACCGCAAAGAACCGCCCAGGGCAGGCGTGTTTGCCGTAGCCGAATGTCAAGTGCGTGGTGCCGACGCTGACGAACTGGGCCTGCATGACGACCTCTGCCGCCTTGGTGCCCGAGGTGGCGAGCTCTTTTGCCTCGCGGAGCTTGTAGAAGCGCAGGGGGTCAAAGACTTCTGGATCGGGAAAGATTTCGGGGTCGTTGTTCATGCCGCCTGCGGGGACCTCGATGAACATCCCCTCGGGGATGGTTTGGCCGTTGGGGAGGGTTACGTTTTTAAGGACTTTGCGGGTGAAGGATGCTAATAGTGAGAAAAGGGGGGGGAAGATGTTAGTTCTTGAATGGTGAGACGGGATGAAAGCCAAGTCTATCGTTCCCATCGGGGACGTTATGTATGTGGCGAGTCAGGACATACCTGCTGAAATCGGGTTGACGCGCATCACCTCCTTGAGGAAACTATCCAGCTTCTTCATGTTCTGCAGCGCGCCGCTCGTAAAGTTCCCACCAGACTCGGCGAGAGCCTCCTGAATATCGTCCCGAAGCAAGGAATTGATCTCAGGCTTCGCCGCAAGCCAGTAAATCGCATTCAACGTCGTCATGGACGTCGTATGAATCGCCGCAAAACTAACACCCAGCTGCGCCATCGCCATCTCGCGATCGCTCAGCTCGCCAAACTTGGCCTGCGCGTTAAGGAGCCACTGCAGCATGTCGTCAGGCTCGCGGTAATCATCCCTCTTGGCGGCCTCTTTCCGTGCCGTGACGATGGGGCGGAAGACGGCCTCGGCGTCGACGATGCGCTTGTAGAGCTTTTTGGTGGTGGGCAGCCAGGAGGCGACGAGGGGCCGGAGGAAGGAGGGGACGAGGGCGATGACGTGGACTGCGGTCATGAGGTCTACGGTGTAGGAGATTGAGGCGTCGAGGTAGCGTTCGTCGCGGCAGAGCTCGGAGCCGATGAAGACGCGGCCCGAGACCATTGCGATGATGCGGAGGAGTTTGGCGTTGATGTTGGTTTCGGTCCAGGAGGGGGATTGGGGTAGTTCAAGGCGCATGGAGTCGATGACTTCGTCTGAGATGCCTTCGTTGAGGCGGGCTGTTTTGAAAGGGGGGATGTTAGCTGGGAGGAGAAGGTTCTTGATATTGGGTGGATTATGGGGTTTACGAACGTAGAGCTGGGGTTAGAGAGGCTCTGACGGCGTGGATGATGATGGGCATGTCGTTTGAGATTTGTGTGTATTTGACTTGCATAGACTTTTGGTCAAGTTAGCTTTCTGGACTATTGTAACAGCTAGGGGAGAAGGTGAAAAATGGGCACTTCGCGTACCTCGTCGATGGCCTTGGTGAAGCTGATGACATCGTCGGGGACCTTCTTCAACTCGGGGAGGTATTTGGGAGGCACACAAATGGTATCCTTCTCTAATGGCGTGTAAGTCAGCGCGAGTCTGTCTTGACCCATGTCTGCAAAACTCACTTTTGGATGTCGTGATGCGGAAGATGCTGTCCTTGAACTGCTTATACCCGTCGGCGTACATCTGCGGTCCTTTGCCCGCCAGAAACGCTTTCCTGCGTGCCCACTTTCCGCCCTGTCCCACGACGGGGACGTGGGCCACGGGATCGACCTTGAACCAGCTCTGCGCGAGGAGAGCGAAGACGATAAAGACGAGGCCGGCTGTCGCTGCTGGCCAGTGTTGATGGTCGAACGAAGTGCCTGCAGCGGCGACAGGGTCGGTTGCGTTTGTCATGTTGTGTGGCGAGTGTGGCCCTTTCGAGTCACGAGCAGGTAGGTGGTGGGAAGAAGACTGGGTGTGAGGCCCTGAGTACGGACGAACTTGGATGTTATTGAAGGGTGTCTAGTCTTTATGTAGTCGTCTCATCGTCGACCACACACCTACACACCTCCGCACACGACGGTGCCACGGTGCGTATGGGTTCGCATAGAAAACCGGTACGTAGGCCATGTTGTTGCTTCTCCATCACTAGCTAGCTAGCCCCTGGCTCGGGGTCCAGCGCGACTATGACGCTTAGGGAGGGAGACGAGTCGTTTGCTAAAATCACCTCCCGCATAAGCGTGATTCTTGCTTCTCTGATTAGAGACTACGGTGTTAAGGCCCCACAGAGATGGGCTTGGTGGACGGTAACACTCGCGTAGGATATGCCTAGTTGCCGCGATGTTTGGCAATGCAGATCGATGGTGGTTTTGGCGCGGGGGACAGGGGTGAATGGGGTTGACGATGGGTGTGGTTGACGGTTGTCAATGCATGGATGATCGGGTTCGTGTTCGCATTGTGGTGCCGTCTCGTATGGGAAACACGCTGGGACGAACCGACATTCGTCTCAGACTGCACCGCCTAGACGGGTCGGGGGCCGGGAGAGAAGTGCCGGGTGGCAAACCGGATCAATTTCGTGGCCGGAGGCCGGTACTTGGGTCCCGACTCTCGGTCGGAAGCAGAAGTCGGCGGCCCCATATTTATGGATAGACCCATCTCATTATGTCATCGAGGTCGGGTCGTCTCACAAGGTCGAGAGATACGCTTACCTAAGAGAGGCAACGGTCACGTGAGCTGTCTCCTTCCACCCCAGATACCAGACGGTGCCAGCGGGACAACGGAACTGCGGCCGCCAAGCCCCTCCGATTCGCCGTTTCTTCACCTCTTTGTCCAGAAACAGACCTTGGAGGGCTTGTTCACGAACATACTTCATTGTCCTACCTAACGCAGCGCATTTACCGCCCAATACTGATCACCAAGCATCTGAATGCGGCCGATGGTTTTCTCCCATGTTTCGCGACACAATGCAGCGCTTATCCGAAGATGACACGTGAGCAGTCAGGTGCAGGCATGATTTCGGGAATAAGATTGACAAGGCTACCACTTTTTGCGTTCGATCCTTCGTTACATTAACCAATTGACGCTTCGTTACATTGCCCAATTGACGAATTGAAACCGTGAGAACCTTTGGAGCGGTGAGTTCCGGTACTAGTACCCGACTTTCCAACCTCACTCCGTTATCTGTGCCTCTCCCCGCCGTCCAACCTACACAGTAAGACATAACATAACCTCCACCCCGCCCCCGCGGTTTTGGGAGCTTGATGGTATCGTAACCACGCTCCGGGCTCCACACTTCTCAGCCGGCAGCAATCGCTGCCAAACTTTTATCAGAAAGATGAGTAGCTTTGTAGACCTGGACGGCGGCGGCGGGCGGCCGTCTAGAGGTTTGCCGTACTATAGCTATGTCGCCTTCCAAGATGTCCTCGCCGGCCCGTCTCACCTTCACTCTCCATCACACGCAAAGTTCCAAGCTGAGAACGCGACGACAATCCTGACTACGGCCCAACTTTTCAATGCTTCCAGAGTCATGGATATCACCAACATTGTCCGCGCCTCGGTCGCGGTAGTGTTGCTGTTCCTTGTTCTCCTGAGGCCGCTTCTTCGCAGGAGACCCGCGTGGTGCTCTGGCTTTGCCCAGGAGTCTTCTTACGGGGATACAATGCATCCATCTCTGAAAAAGGCCTGGACGTTCTGGACAGTCTACCTCTTCGCGGTTGCGCTGGCCGGGCTGGTTCAGGGTGTGTCATCTACCCTCGCGCAGCCACGCGGCGTTTTTGACTTGCTGGACTTGGTGCCATGGATCATTGCCGCTCTAATCACCGCCATGGACCGGCCTACCAAGACGCCCAAGACGCTGTTGTTTCTCTACCTTACAATTCTGTTTTGTGGCGTTGTCTCGGCCGCGTTCAGTTACAGACTCCATAAAGTAATCCATACGCTCATCCTCGCAGACCCGGTCATCAGCCTGGCTGGTATCGTTGGTATTGTAGCGATGCCGATGCGGGACCCGTCGCTCGGCGACTCTGACATTGCGCGCGCCGAACCCACCGACCAGCTCCGCAGTCCCGAAGACAACCTCTCTCTGTGGAGATTCATGACCGTGTCGTGGATGGCGCCCATGATTTCAAAGGGCTACGAGAAGCAGCTGCACAACGAGGACGTGTGGCAACTACCGTTCGATTTTCAGCATGAGCGCCTCCACGGACTGTTCCACGAGCTTCGCGGGTCCATGACCGCCAAGCTGTTCTCGGCAAACGGCCTGGACTTGATCATTCAGTCATTTCTCGGAATCGTTGAATGCGCTGCTGCGCTCTCCGTCCCCATGTTGCTGCAGCAGCTCCTGCGGGCCATCCAAAGCGGGTCCAGGAATATTGAGGTGTCCATCCTGTACGCCATTGGCATCTTGGCTGTTCGTCTTATTGCCTGCCAGGCTGCCGTCTTTCAACTCTGGTTCTCGAGGCGATGCTATGAGCGGTCTCGCGGAGAGATGATTACCACACTTTACGCCAAGACCTTGTCGCGGAAGCACTTTGGTCAGCCGGCTGCCGAGAAGATGTTGGATGGAGCCCAAGAAGACGGAAACGATGAGAGCGATGACGATG